AAAACATAGTGATATTTCTCATGTTGCCAGAAAACATGGGTATAGAAATTAAGTAGTAGCAGTGGTTCCTCTTATTATGCCTCATAACAAACCAAATTTTTGCTTCCTACAACTTTTGGCTTAGGTGGTTCAGAAATCATAGTTCCCAAGTATGTAATGTTTCTATACTCGCATTGAATTAGAATATGAGAATGCCATGTGGCCATTTTGTACTCCTTTTGCTACAGAACCAATTAGCAAAGGATGGGTATTAGCCAGGTTGACTGGTCCTGATTACCAAGAAAAAAATTAGGCTGCTGCTACACAATTAACTGTTTTCTTGGGCTTGTTCAATAATAAGAATTAATGGAAAACTACAATAAATTTAAAAAAGGCAGGTCCATTGAGAATTCTGACTCTTCAAGAATGAACGTTTAAGATGACCTATCAGATAAAGAATTTTGACTATTTGAGGCGCTAGCAGAGGGAATATAGAATAGTGGAAGAAGAAACTGGTAAATATCATTTATGGTCTTATGATCAGTAGTAACAGAAACAAGGACTGTAGCAGCATGCATGTGTGCGCACAGATACACACAAAGTTCTCTTCTTAGTTTGCACATTGATCCTATTAACATCACCCTAGCAATGACATTACTGTAACAATGGCATCCAATTTGTTTCAGCATCAGCCATCAGTGTTAGCTTCCAGCTGCTTTTAATACTTTAAAAAAAAAAAAAAGCCTCTGCATCCTGTCAGATGTACCAGTATCAGCTGAGCAGGACTTTTTTCTCATATATCAAGTTCCTAGGGCCCTTCCTCTGAGCTTCAAGTTCTGTTAACCTCAACTTCTCCTAACCTCTTTCCTTTTACCCTCCAGTACTAGCGGTGACTTTGTGCCCTTCAGTGGTCAGCAAGGGGCTTTCCTAAGCAGACCAGTCCTGAAGCAGGCCTCCTGAAGTGGGTGCCTTGGATCCGGCTACAGAGTCCCGGCTCTGCCCACTCTTCTCAGAAAATACTGCTGCTCTAAGTCAGTTCTTGCCCTAGGCTCCCTTCCTCTTTACCAGCAGAACCCTGTCCCATCTGGCCCTGGTGGTTCAGGTGTTTCCTGCATTCATTATATCTAGTATCCTCTTTTTGCTCTTTCAATCTATTCCACATCTGTGTAACTGTTCCCTATATGAAATTCCCTGTTTGAAATTCCTAGTGTGCTTTTTCTCTTTACCAAACCCTAACTCTAAGAGATAGCTTAACATTTCTAATCAGAGCAGCCTATTTGGTGGGGTTGTCAGCCACAAAGAGGGTTTTTAAAAAAGTTAACACTTGAGAATTTTCTTACTGGCAATAATTATTTCAAGAGCAGTAAAAAAATAATGAATTTACGTTAGTTTTTCCCCAGCAATCAAAAAAAAAAAAAAAAGAGAGAGAGAGAGAGGGAGAAGAAAAGAGAGACTACCTGTTAATGAATGATCCTATCAGTTTTGACTATGTTCAATGACATCCAAAGACTGCAAAGGCAGCCAAAATTGTCAACTCAAAAAAAAAAAAAATAGTATTTTTAAAATTTTACATTTGTGAAGACTACCATCCTATAATTTGACCTTCTCAGTATTCTTTCCTAGGTAATCAATAATTTAAAAAATAAACAAACAAAACCAGTAATTGTAAAGGAAACTATGGAGAAATCTATAACAGATCTAAACTTCCACTAAAGAAGTATTTTTATCCTTACTCAACTTTCCTCACACAGGGTCCTTGGAAGGCAGTGAACAAAGCAAAATAAACAAAAACCCTGCACTTATTTCAATTTTCAAAAGTCCATCTCATGGAAAAATCTCTAGGTACAAAAAAAAATACGTGTTTAAAAGATAAACTTGTCTTCAGAAAAAAATCAAAAATTTTAAATGCACATCAGAGAAGACAATAAACAGAAATTAATTTGGCCAAAATAGATGTTTTCTAAATCAGAAACCTGGACATTTACATATTCTGAAAGCATAATGGTCAAGGTTTGAAAACAAGCCTTATCTTCTCTAGGTTTCCTCAATGAATTAAACAACAAAGAAGCATATAGCACATCTGTCTGGGTCATAAAATAAATATGAATTGAGAAATACCATCCATTTAGTCAATGTGTAAAGTTACACTCTTAATTCATAAAATTTTAGAAAACACAGCATCTACTCTCTTTTAGAAATAATTCATTAGCACTTCTTTCTAACAATAACTATCTCCAAAATTAATTTTTAAGAGAGCTCTGAATAATATGCTGAATAAATAAAGTATTACACCAATATGTAAAATATGCATGTACACACTTGATGTTTGTTTATGACTGAATGGATGGTTTACATTTATGACTGTATAAGTTACGTACTTTATAAATGTTTTATTAGCAATATATTGCCTAGTGAAATAAGCCTTGGAGACTGAGGCAGAAGAGAGCTTGCTTATATTCCAGACTCCATCAACATCATGCAGTGTTATCTGTGCCAAGTCATTTCATGCCTTATTCTCTCTACCTGTAACATGAGCGATAATAATATCTGCCTTTACCTGCTTACCACTAAAATAATAATTTTAACAAACAAAGCTGTGGGAGAAAGATATTATGTACATGTATTAAATTTCAACCTTTTAACCCAAAGTAAAAAATCTTAAGACAAAAGTTGTGACATGCATGGTTTACTGACCTTGAAGAGGACAGAATGGTATAAAAGAAAGAGCGTGGGTTTTAAAAGGGAAAAATCCAGACTCCACTACCTACTATACTTGTGACCTTGGAAGAGTCTATATAAACTCTCCGACCTTGAATTTCCTCATCTATGAAACATGAACATTTATCTCTTAAGGTTTGAAATGAGTATTAGGAAAAATATGTCAATTACCTAGCACAGTGTGTAAAACATTTTAAAAAATGTTAAGTTTCTTTGCCCTAAACTTTATGGGTACATTAAAAACTGTATTCCCACTTTTAAATTCACGCAAAAATCTGATATTGAGAATATTTATAAAGCACACAGATTGGGCTCTTCTCCTTCCAAAAATAATTTGTTGGGTTTTTTTTTTTAAACTCTTTTTGATAGCTCTTTTCTCTGTTAAGAAGTAAACTGACAAATTGAGTTAGTTGTATTCACAAACTACATTCAACTCTACTACAAAAATCAAACTTACAAAACAAAGATCCTTTTAACTGCCTACAAATACCATTCCTAGCACTGTGTCTTCTACTTTCAGTGTTAAGCCTATGAAAAAGTGCAAAGAGCCCTCTTTCATTTTCCTCTGGTCAGCAGCCATACAAGAGGAATTTTCAGTTATGTCAAATCCACAGTGATTTCAAAGCTGAAGAAGAAAGTCAGTACTAAGGAAAATAGTTGAAAACTATTACTAGATACAACTGACTTTCTTCAGTGGACATGATTCATTCCTCTAATTTAACAAGAAAACAAAAACCCACTCTGATGAAAGTTAAACCTCAAATATCATAGTAACCTTATTAGAAATCGATTCACTACTAAACCTCTAATTATAAAATATATTAAGCAAAATGTATTATCTGCAACAAGGGAGATGGGTTGTTTCCAGGGATGAGGGAATTTCTACAGTTCACTCATAGTAAATACTATCAATTATAAGATATATCCAGTATGTACTCAGAACCTAGCAGCTGAATCCACAAGGGTTTAGCAAGCAAAAATTTTGGCACAAAAAGTAGAATAACATTTACTCAAGAATAAAACTGGAGCCATATTTAGCAGTCTAAAACTTTCAAAACCAAGAAAAAAAAAATGATCATGAGGAGGTTCCTACAATCATCTGGTTTGCTTTCTAGACAAGGTTAGAATTGAACGGTTTTGAAAACCAAAAAAAAAAAAAAAAAAAAGCAAACAAAAAAATATTAGTACAGGCTCTGGAAATCTGCCACATTTACTCTGGATGAAACTCTTTCTGACAGTTTTTTTTAAAGGGATGAAGGATAAGTGTTATTTATCATTGCTTTCACCTAAAAACTATTAATCACTAAGGGTGGTACAGGTACCAAACAGAATTTTGCTTCCTTTCTAAATTTACACAGTTTCCTATAAAGAATAGCACATTTTGCTGTTCATGGTGAATTTTTTGATGTTTATGCAGCAGTACTTTTCTTCCTCTCCAAAACAACCTCATTCCTAGTCTGCTGTTTCTGTTTGCCTCATCTGCACTTAGCAGATCACGCTTCAGTGACTTAGAAATCCCAGCCACCAAAATTGAAGCCAAAGTTTGAACTGAGAGGCGGGGAAAGAAATCAAGTAATTAAACTACACTTGGAAGGAAGAATGGTTTTACCTCCTATGACTTTACAGCGTGCTCTTTTAATTCAGAACGAGAGTCTCCAATTTTAAGGAGAATAAAAGTATGAATTTATTTTTAATTTACAAAATTATTTTGTAATTATTATAGTTCTATTGGCCTTATCTTTCAATTTTACCTTCTGGCAATGACACAAAACCAGAAGACCATTACAAATGTTAACATTGGATGCTTCAGGTAAAACAGTTCAATGCTCTGGGAAGTTTCATTATTAAAGTCTTTCTCAAATTGTCACAAATTATCATGTACTTAATAGAGAAATGAAAAGGGAGAAAAAAAGAATGTAGTAAAGTTGGAGGTAAAGCCTGTACAGTTAGATGCCCTGGGGCTACTGAGCTATGTCTCATTTTCTCACTACCAATGGTTTAAAGGATTCAGTTCCTTTCATTTTATGAATTAGCAGATGACCTTAAAAAGCTTTCTTAAAAGTAAAATAAAACCATCTTTAAAAATGGTATCACCAAGTTTGAAATACATAACATTATAAGGTTAAAATTTGGGAATTTAGGAAATTAATAGTACTAATAAAAATGTCTGAAAGAACTTTATATTAATGAACTTATATACCAAAGATCAAATGCTCTATCAAAAGTTAAACAAAAAAAAATAATAAATGTCTTTTTTTGCTTTGCTAAATTCTCATCTTACCTTTAAGTACCTTATAACATACCTTTGTAGAATGCCATTTTCCTGGGGTATTACACCATTGATAGCTGCCTGCAAACAGAAAATAGAGAAGGCCATTTAAAGAAAAAGAAAAAATGTTCAAGGGTGAGCTAGGGTAGGGTGGAGAACATTATCAACAGAAACAAGTAAACTCTGAAAAAAAATTTTTAATTCTAAATGTTTACTTAATAATACAAAATATTAAATGGTTCTCTATTTCTCTATAACAAAACCGTATTTAAGAAAATTTTAAAAACACGTATTTGGCATAATAATGTCCCTAAATTTTGAGTCATAAAAAGCTTAATTCCACCATTCTAATTCAAACAAAACACTCACAAAACCAATATTTAAGGATGTCAAAACAAGTAAAATCAGTACCTTACAGAAATCTGTAAGAACAAGATATAAAATCACAAATGAAAAACTCCAATAATAATTTAAAACTTAACTCAGGAATAAAATTCATCCTTTCTAATTATAATCATTATTCTTTATGAAAAGCCCATTTAGAAGGAATACATATAGAGGCAAAAGTTCTTTGATAAACACAACACCATAATTTTTTCAGGTTACAAAAGGAAACAGGAGCATCACTAGGAAAGTTTTCTTATATGAAACATTCCTAAAATTGGTCTCTAAGCTAACCACTCACCAATTACTTAGAACACAGCACAAGTGTGACATGATATGAATGTTTTTTTAAGGCTCCTAAGTAAGCAGGCTATTACTACTGGATTGTGGGCAGTTCACTGCAGGGTAATTGAGAAGATTTCTCTGGAGGAAAATAATGTCCTTTACAACTTCGTCTTTGCATCGTAACAACTTATTCCCTCCCCTTCCCTCCCCACGTCCACATCAAAATAGAAAAAAAAAAAAAAAAAACAGCTAACACTTCAATATTTTATCAGTTGCCTGGAAATCAATTGCCAAAAAACAGTTTGTATATTTTGTGAAACATTAACTTAAACATTTGCCAGAGGTGGGTCACATTTACAAAGTTATACTGTTGAATGGAAATAAAGTAGAGTGTGAGATACTTGCTACGAATTTGAGGGTTGTAATGCTCCACTGGGAAAAAACAAAGAACTCCACGGGTTAATATAGACAGTGGATACCATAGAACCCTGACAACTCTGGAAGCTCAATAAATCCTTTGAGGCAAGCGAACACTAAAATCAGTTTCCAAAGTCACAAATTCAATGGAATCATCTCTGCCTGGTGCCAGGTCAATTATCCCTTTTCTGTTGATAGCAATAGTTCCACATACAAATACCTCCTTTGCTAAAAAAAAAAAAAAGAAAATGGTAAGAGAATGTTCTATGGTGTTGGAAAAGAAACAGAATATCACTTTGTTTGGAAAGATTTTGTTCAAAATTTCACTAGGGAATGCCAAGGTATAATGGAAAGAACACTAAGGATTTATAAAGTCCAAAGTTTGAATCTAGGTTCTCCCATTAATTAATTATTTGATGACCTTACTATATATTCTTTATTCACTGAACCTCCTTGAGCCTCAGGTTCCTCATCTGCATAATGAACTAATATTACAACCTCAGCCAAACTGGGCCTTTTTGTTCCTCACAGGCATCAAGTTCCTAGGGCCTTTGAAGATACTATATTTATTTGCAATGCTCATTCCCCATTCTTTGGTCATTTTTTTTTTTTTTTATGGTGACATTGGTTAACAAAATCCAAAAAGTTTCAACTGTACACTTTAACAGTAAGGCATATATATGTTTATACCGTGTTGGTTAATTCTTAATCATCAGAATTGAGGTTTCTGTTAGATATACTTTTTAAAAAACTTTTTCTCTGATCAAACTCATCTAAGTAGGTTTACTCTCACATAGAACACTGTACTTTTCTTTTATATAATTGACAATTACTTATATTGTGGTTATTTGTTTTATGTCCGCCTTTCTCACTCAACTATAGGTTCCATGATGGAAGAAACGATATCAAGTATGTTCACCACCTAATCCCCATTGCCTAGCATATAAAAAGCACTCAGTGATTATTTGTTAAATGAATGATGCTAGAAAAGTACAAAGAAAAGCAACAAGACTTGAAGAAGGCTGAGAGGAAGCTTCCTGGATGAAATTATTTCTCAACTGAGACCAAAAAATAAGTGAAAAGTGGTACTAATCTTTGAAAGACATATTTTTTTTTTATTTCTGCTGGATTAGAAATACAGATATACTTAAATCTCGCTCCTAATGATTCAATTTCAGATATCCCCCCCTCACCCCCATATATATAGAATATATTATTTCCCCCTAAATCCTTTATTATTATTTCAGAAGTGACTTAATGTCTAAAGGCATAGATCTTTCATAAGCTCATGTTATTAAATATGCTCAAAGTAAGAACTCTCAAGCCAGAAAGCTGTCGTATCCCAGCTCCATCATTTACTAGTGTGTAATCATGAGAAAGTTACTTATTCCTGTCTCAGTTCTCTCATCAATAAAATGGGAGGTGATAATAGTACTTGTTCATTGAGTTTTTATGAAACTTGTTAACACATACTTAAATCATGTTTGCTACATAGTAAACTACTCAGGAAAAATGAGCTGCCTTTATCCTAACAACTGCCATACTGAAATTTATTCTTATTTGAAATCACAAATAGTTTTTAATCACAAACCTCTGAAGACAAAGAATGGACACTATAAAAAAATAAAAATGTTTCCACTCACAACACTTACCTACTGCAGATGACTTATTTCTGGAGATGTTTCCTCTCCTCGTTATTTAAATAATGGTGTATCACCATTAAAAATACATCATAAGTTACAGGTAAGATGATGAGATTAAAGTAGGAAAAAAGTGAGTAGTTTACCAGCCCTACGACTAACTCTAAAGTTCTTTTGGTTAACCTGGCAGTTTACTTTTGCCGTAGGAAAGAATTCCAACTGGCAATCCTAAAACATCTCCTAACGGCCAAATATTTGATTTTAACAAGTTCTAATTTGACTTTTTTTTTTTTTCAGGGAAAGAAAACAGAAAGCAGAACAATTTAAGAAATGTAATCATTCCACAATCTGTTCTTAGACAAATGCAAAAAATGTTCACTGAACCTTTCCAAGTAGTTATAACTATCAAAATAGGCCAACATGCAGAATTAAGACTGGTGCAGACCAAATTAAAGACAAAAAGAATATGAGGCAGATCCTAAGACTAATAATGGTACCTAAGAGACACACCTTTGTCAAATAAACATCTGTGAATGAAAAACCAAACAGCAAACTAGGAGAACCACATAAAAAACCTCAGTGCTACCTCAACTAGATCCTTCTAGCACTTAAAGGACATCGAGTCCAAATCCCTTAGCCTGGTAACCGAAGCTCCAACCTTCCTTTCTGGCTGTCTCTCAGATTTTGTCCTACAGGAATCTTTAGTCAAATCGTTTGACCCACTGACTTTAGAATACCTTGTACTTTCATAATTAACAAAATATTGTATTCTTCTTAAGATTAACACTGTGGAAACCAAAGCCAAATTTTCTAAACAAATTTAAAAGCTGGTAAGAAAAAAAACGCATTCAAACCTGACATATATTTTAAGAAAGTAAATTAATTTCTAGGTTCAATTTGTAAGCTAAAAACATGAAAAAAAGACAAAAACATCTCAAGTTAGCAGTTTGAAGAATTTATGGAGGTAAACATTCTACAGTATTCAAGAGAAGACTTTCTGGTGGTTCAGCAAACCCAACAAGCCATATTTGCTTTATATTACAAGCAGCCACATTAAGGAAAACTAACTTGTTACTAAAGTCCTAAATATAGTTGCTTCATTTTAAGATTGATGAACATCTAAAATCAATTTAATTTGGGAAAGTAGGCTGCAATTATTCTATGCAAGAACTGTGCTAGGTATTGTGGATAACACATGGCCAAGATAGCACCAAACTTTAGGAAACCAAGAGAAATAAGATAAGAATACAATATTAAGCATAATACAGAAAGTATCTATCTCAATAAATAGCAACTCCATTCTTCCAGTTGGTCTAGCCAAAAACCCTGAAGTTATCCTTGACTCCCTCTTTCTCTCACTACTCCCTCCTTCCCCATTCATTAGCAAATTCTGATTGCTGAAATGTTAAAACACATCCAAAATTTGATTACATCTCACTGCAACCACTCTGGTCCAAGCCTCTATCTTGTCTCTCCTCCATTACTGCAATAGCTCCTTAACTGATTTCCTTGCTTTGCCCTTGTTCACCTTCAGTGTATTCTCATCACAGTGACCATAGTGAGGCTATTAAAATATAAGTCAATCCTCTACTCGAAATCTTCCACTGACTTTTATTCTAGGATAAAAAGGCAACATCCTTAAGATATCTTATTCCTCCCTCACTCCTGTAATCTAATTTCATCTCCTCCTCCTTTCCTGAGCAATACTTGTCTTCTTGATAATCCTGGAAAACACTAGGCCTGATTTTCCACTTAAGGTTTGTTGTGATTACTATTCCCCGTGCCTGAAATGTTCCTGCTCCTAGATACATGGCTCACTTGCTAACTCCCTTCCTCCAGGTCTTGATTCAATTGTCACCAGCCCACTTTTTCTAAAAAAAGAACTACAGACCCTGATCCAACGTACTATATATCCTTGTTCCCTATTTTCCCCCTTAGGAATTACCTATCACTTTCTGACACACTATATAATATTACTGATTTATATCACTTATTGTCTGTCTTCCCCTATGAAAGTATAAGCTCCATCATGATAGGGATTCCTCTGGTTCACTACTATATTCCCAGTACTGACACGAGAGCTTTGCACATAGTATATACTTAATAAATATTTTCAGAACTTAGCCCCAAGCTGTGAGAAAAGCACAAGGAACACAGAGAAGCTATTTAGAAATTAATCAGTTTACTGTCCCAGCTGAACTCAGTCTTGCAGTCATCCCAGCACAGGTTCCAGACATGTGAGTAACGAAACCACCTTGGACCCAGCTATTCCAGCTCCCAACCAGCTGAGTCACCCACTGGTTGGGAGCTGGAATAGCTGGGACCAAGGTGGTTTTGTTTGAATTGTCCCAGCTG